AATTATAATAATTTAACTAAAAAATTATAATGACTATTATAAATCTCAACAATTATAATTATAATAATAATTAATAAAATTTATATATGAAAACAAAAATGAATTATAATCTATTTTAATAGTTATTAGAATAGTCATTACATATGGAAAAATTTAATAATTATATTTCTGATTCAGGGTGTTAGCAGACCTGAACAATCTAATGCCAGGGACGACGACGAGGCGTTCGATGACTATTATGATGGTTCTGACACCCGACACACTAGAAGTCGGGGTGTCAATGCGTCCGTTCGTCGGGACAGACAGACGTTGATCGATGAGGCTCGGAGGGTACAGACTCTTCAGGCTAGGCAGAGTTCGAGACCCCCTGCACCAGCACGAGATGGTCCGAAGGGTCAGCCAGATAGTTCGCGACCCCACGGAGTCCTCCCGTACGGCGAGCATGGATTTTATTATCCTGGCCAGGCGGGCAGTTCGATGCCCCCGGCACCAGGACCGTACGATCAGCCGGGATATGCTTTTTCCCGCTACGCAGGGAAGTCGATACCCCCCGGCGCACGCGTACCATTACCTTATGTCAGCAGGGGTATACTGATGATGAGTCGTACGGCGAGAGGGAGCAGGGTCCAGAGGAGTATGACTCGGACGACTCCTCAGATGATCAGGACCACGCACAACCTACGGGTCCTAGCCATCCTCGTCCTCCTGTACAGCATGTTCGTCCGGTACATCCGGTTCTACAGCGTGTTCGTCCGGTACAGGCTGTTCGTAATACACAGGCTGCTCCTCAACGACAAGCTGGGGGGTGTTTTGGCCCATCTTTATCTTCATCAGGTAAATAATTTACGTATTTATTGTTGTTTAACATAAATTATTTTCACTTAACCATAACAAATTATCGGTACTGTTAGAAAAGTATTATCGGCCTGCTTCTCAACTACGGTATAGTTATTTTGTAATTTAGAGGAACCATACAATTAATTAGTTAGAAAATTATTATAATTATTTTTATTATTGTTATAATCAATTAGTAGTANAAAAAAAATAAATAAAATTATATATTATATGTATGCACAATATATAAAATTTTATATTAGATAATGGATGTACTACATTTAAAATTTTGTACTCTATGCAAACGTGTAATGGAAATATAAATTATTTAACTTACGTATGAATCTTATACTGATGCCCTAAATTTAGTGGACAATATAATTTAGTAATCTAGAGGGACCATACATTTAATTAGTTAGAAAAATATTACAATTATTTTTTATCATTGTTATAGCAATTGTCTATGTGATTTTAAAGGTGTTTAACTATGACACTCATGCCAATTAACTAATATTAATATTAGATAAAAATCGCTTAAAAAGACAAAAAATAATTTATTTTAGAAAAAGTATTTTAAAGAAAAAAAATTACAATACATTTTTTATAAGTATGTAACTTCCACATACTATTTAATGTAAAATTATAATCAGTTAGTATTAGTAGTAATATTTTATAATAAATTAGTGTAAAATTGTTATTACACTTTATTAATGTAAAATGTAACGTTTCTACATTAATTGAAAAAAAAGAGCTAGAAAATTATGAAGGTTTTATTAAATAGGTAATTAATGCATCTGTCATCAATTATATATATATATATATATAT